CTAATATGATTTGCATTATCAAGTTTTAACAAAACAATTTTTGGGTGTCATTTCCAAATATAAAGATGTTTGCATTGAAGAAACACTTGAGATTACTTGAATATATTTGTAAAATGCTATAGAAACTATCCTTTTTTTAGCAGTCAATAAATAGTTGTAAAATTAACGTGACATGCGACTTTTCTCTTTAACACTACTTTATGTCTTGTCACCTTGTGATACTTTATGATACCTTACGATATTCATTTGATGTTTCTTTTCCGAAACATTTTGCAAGTATGCTCGAGCGATCTAAAATATTATTTCATGCAAATATCTTTTTATTTGGAATTGGAGATGAGAGAATTCTCAGCGTGTCATTTCTTATTTCTAATGTCATCATCCCATATAGCCGTGACGAGTAATCAGGAGCCATAATTTGGAAAAAAAAAAAACGTAATAAGGATTCCATAAAAGGTAACTTAATAAGGACCTGACTATGAGTCCTTACTAAGGTCCTGATATCCACTGCTGCGTTACATGACTTACTAGGACCCGATAGTATTACCTTGGTATTACCTTGATAGTATTGGGACCTGATGTCCAAATGAGGTTAACCTGATCAGGACCATGGGGTAAATTTCTAGTTGGGAACTTATACGCGCATTTCATACTTTTGATTGACGCTGAAGAAAATTTAGAAGAAAATTTAGAAAATTAATAAACGCACAATTTTTGCCACTAGCGGGCCCTTCAGGGGGCCCCTCGGCGAAGCTGCAGCTCCAATGCAATCAAAATAGAGTGGCGCAAACGGTGGACTATTAAATTAGCGTTAAATGGAATATTCAGGTCGGAGGCAGAATGAAAATTTCGACCCGACCGTTTCCGACCTGAATCGTCCGGCGTCCATGGATATTGGACCCCCTCGCGCCTTTTCCCGCTCGCACTGCGCATTTTTCCAAATACCCGTCACATTTTGATTGCTCCGGCAGAAATAGGTCGTTAATCGCCGGCGGTTCCAGCGATAACTCTGACGGAGAGAGAGAGAGAGAGAGAGAGGAAGAGAGAGAGAGAGAGAGAGGGAGAGAGAGGGAGAGAGAGGGAGAGAGAGAGAGGGAGAGAGAGAGGGAGAGAGAGGGAGAGAGAGGGAGAGAGGGAGCACCTCGTGCGAACGAGTTCAGCCGTTCATCGTGGAAATTATAGCCGAATGCAGGAGCAAGGTAGATAATGAGGCAATAACGAAGATCAAGTGAGTATTACTTGAGGTATCACACCGGACTATCACAGCGACTCGTGGTGCTCCAGACTCCCGAGTCTACCCGAGCTCCTCCGGCCGGCGCTGGAGCACTCAAGTGATGCCCGCGAACCTGGGTGAGTGCTGACGGAGAGAAATTACCCGGGTAACCGGGCTTACGCGGCCAACGCTAATTGCAAGTCGCGCAACAACGGCGCGCGATCGCGCCCGAATGTGCAGATCGTTTTGCGAGTTTACGTTGCGTCGTAACGCGTCGCAAGCCGATCATGTCGCGGCCCGGCTCTGATTCGTCTGCACGTAGGAGAATTTTTCTAAATTAGCTACATGAAGATAGGGTGAAATTAGGATTGCCAACTGTCCGGTTTTGACCCGGACTGTCAGCTTTTCAGAAGTCTTGTTCAGTGTTCGGTGTTAATAAGTCAAACCGGACGTCATATGTCCGGTTTTTAAGTTATATCCATTCGACGGAATGAGAGTTCAGATCTTAGCAACGTTTCTCCGTTCTCAAGCGCCTACAAACGATCGTGCGCCGCGAGAAGCCCATCTAGTAGATGATCTGCCGATCCATCATTCCATATATATATTAAAAAAGCAATAGTTTGTTATTTTATTCAATCAAATCTTGTTTATAAAATTGTTTGGAAATTAATATTGTAAATAAATTCTTGTCATATTTTGTATTTAAAGTAACGTTATGATTACTATTTCTGTCCGGTTTAGTCCGCTTTGGCTTTGTTACCAAAGAACAAATGTCCGGCAATTTTAACTTTCGGATCTGGCAACCTTAGGTGAAATACCTAGGTAAATCTCTCGCCCTGATGAGTCCCAATGCGGGCTCTCAATGTCGCTTCACGTCACGCTCACGTGAACGTCCACGACGTGGAGAACGAGCGATACATCTCGACATCTCGCACATCTTCGCAGCGAGGCGGACTGAATTATCCGCGGGTCGACGATGATCTGAGATCACTTCGCAAGGATAACACTTTTTCCAATTTTGCATGCGGATGAAAGTGATGTGTGCTACTTGATCTCGACAGTCATCCAGCCGATCTTACCTGCCGATAACAGCAAACAGCGCGCTTTCTTTTTTCCTTCAGCACCGTTCGGAAACGTCGCCACCGCGGCGAGCCGCAGCAGGACACATCCGCAGGATGCGGGCGAGGAGCGGAAGGTGCGAAGGAGCAGCGGCTCAGCCAAGGGGGGGAGGGAACGCGAGCGAGCGAGCGAGTACACGCACGCTCGTGTGTGCACACGCAATGCAGGAAGGTGCGAGAGAGAGAAAGAGAGAGGAGGGGGAGAGGGGAGAGACAGAGGGAGGCGTGGGTAGACGATCGATAGAGCAGGTGGCAGCACGTCGGGTTCCCTGGTTCGCTTCCGGCGGAGAGAGTCCAATGACACTCGGGCGGCGATCGAGCGATTGGCCTCGGCACGATTACGAAGAATAATATCAAGGCTAATGAGGGGGAGGGATGGCTGCGCTGAAATCGTAAAGCCGACCGCGCCTCCTTTGGTCGCTATGATATTTGACGAATTTCGAGTGTCAACGTCAGGCAGCACGTCAGCGGACGACGTCTTCTTCGCGGAGCCGCTCGAGAGCGGCAGAGCGAGAGAGGCTTATCGCGCCTCCGATTTTTTCTCTCTCTCTCTCTCTCTCTCTCTCTCTTTCTTCCTCCCGACGAGAAGTCTACTTACTTTGCGAATCTCTTCTAAGTTGTGAATTTCCGGCGACAGGCCGCCGTGCACACAGAGGAACTGTTGGTTCATGAGGGCGGCGAGCGGCAAACAGTCGAAGGCATCCATGCACGCGTCGTACACCCTCTCGGAGTATTTTATTTTACCTGGAAGCAGAAGGACAGAGATCGAGTCAGACTGGAGAGCGTCGAGAATCCGCCGTAGCATTCGCGAGAAACGGCCACGATAAAAGGGTCTCGATCCTATCAGCGTAACGGCAACGCTTACGGCCGCAAGGACGGCCGAGGAGGGACCCTTCCGGCTAACTCGACTTGGACTCGTTTTTTACGAGACGACGTGTGGATCGACTGACCGACACGCCCGATCCGTCGTTTTGACCGAGGAGGGGAAGAGCGGAGGGAAGACGAGGAGGAGAAACGAGATCGAGGAACAAGGAGGAAATAAAGGGGGGAAACGACGCGAGGGAGCGATGAGGAAGGACAAGCCAGGCGAGCCAAGTAGGACACGCACGGGCGGCCGTGCGAACGAACGGCGAAGAGAACGCCAGGTCGCTCTCTCGCTCTCGGGAGCCATTTTACGTCGCGCCTCGCGTCCTCGAGGAATCACCCTCGCGAGCAAGGACTTCCGCGCCGCGCCCACGCCTGTTCCGTGTTCCGCCGTGACGTGCGCTTTCTCTCCTCTCCTCTCCTGCGCCGCGTGCGAGCGAGCGGTGACTCTCCGGACGGCTCCGAGAGCGACATGGCCGACATGAGGATATCATTGTCTCCCGTTCCTGGGATCTCCAGCTAGGAGCGAAAGCGAGCGCGGAGCTGCTCCTCGGGCTCGCTCGCGCCCCGGCCGAGTTCTGGTTACTTTGGCAGTCGTGCGCGCGCGAGCGCGTACGGGCGAGCCCGGAAGAGGGGGGAGGGCGGGGAATTTCGGGGGGCTCTCGCACGGAAAGTGGATGACAATTTTTCTCTTATACGATACACAATATATTTCTATCTCCGGGGGATCGCTTTACGGACGAGTGGGCTGCGCCCGGCCATTACCACGCGGCGGATCCCCCCCGATATCGACTCGATTCTCGGCTGCGGCCCGACCAGCGTCGGGTTTCAGTCGGATGGTAACCAACCAAGGCCCCGGCCAGCGGCGAGCAATTCTCTCTGCCGAGCCATTCGCAAGCACACATCAGCCGCGCGAGTGAACCGCCCGCGACGTCGCCTGCGGGTCTCGAAATTACGAGCGCGTCATTCGGGGGAGGTCTCCCCGCTCCCCCCCGCCCCCCCCTCACACCGGGCGAAATGCGCGCGAAATCTTCGCAGTGGCTCGGATGGCGGAGGGATTGACAGCGCGCGTTCGATTTTTCTTCACCTCGCTGGGCTTCCGGATAGACGACAAGCGCGCGAGGGCGATTGTCATTTCTCGTGATTAGTAAATTCGTCAGACTGAAAACCGTTGTTACTCTCGGTTAGCGTAGACGGGGTGACCATCTCGCACCTCGTATTCCGTTGCTTGGGTGAATAAAAATTAACAACAATGGAGAGAAAGTGATACGAAAAGAATTTCTTGATTTCCGGCTGGTGTTTCAGCATTCTTGCGAGGATTTGATCAGATATTGAAATGGATAATTCACACACACACACAGAATAGAAAAATAAACAAGTAATAATTAATAAATGCACATACACTTTGGTATTTGACAAAAAAGGTTTTACGGACAAACTTGCGAAAAGTTCACATCTAATAATTGTCATAAATTTAATGCCAAAGGTATTCAAATAACATAATATGTCGCTGTTGTAATCTTACACTATTTTCTCGCGGTGTTAATCCTTTATGTCCTGATGGTAGTTAAAAGTATCGCTTTATCTATTTTTTCTGCACCTTACTCTACGTTCTTTTCGGCACTTGTAAGTACCACTTCAAAATCATTAAATTGTTATAAAATTTATTTTCCTATTCCTTACGTTTATAATGTGCTGAAAGCACCATTTAATCACACAAAAAATTGCACAAGAGGGTCTCAGGTAAATTGATTCAGGATACAAAGGGTTAAACTTATTTGCGAGGAAAATCCACTCGAGGCCGATCATCCAAAGTATCTTTACCAAAAATTCATGGCAATAGGGCATTTTCCGAAACTAACCCCCGCGTTCTGTATTAGAGAGCCTCGCAGGAAGAGAGTGGCAAACTGATCACGTGACCAGGTCTCTGTTGATTCGATGGAGGCACTTCTTGACCAATTAGAATATCGATATAACAAGATGACAGGTTGGTTTTACAATGAGTTTTTAAAGCAGTACATCTGTCAATCATTAGAGGAGGTTACGACGAGTCGCACAAGATATTCGTCTACGAATTAATAACAGTAATAAGAATCAGATATCCGTAAGTAATAAGTATTAATTGTGAAAGAATATTTGTAATATATTTTATTTACATAATCTTGTGTCTTGTGCATACACTAGGAAAAAAACTTAGTATCTCTAACAAAACTGTTTAGTTGAGGCATTTTTTAATAGTAACCAAATATCTTGTTTTATACAACAAAAAAGATTTAGTTGTCTCAACTAAATATATTTTTCTGCTTTGTTCTCTGGACCAAATGATTTTGTTCTCAGACTTCATAATTAAGCATTTTAGTTATTTTATCCATGAAAATTACACAATAACGAAATATTATTTTACATAAACTAAAATAATGCCCAATGGATACTATTTTGTCTTTCTGTGCACTGAAATTTAGATTTTATATATTAAGAAAAAATTATAGTATTTTCAACAAAATTCATATAGTTAAAGCTTTCTGGTTGCTATAACAAAACTGGTTGCTATTACGTTATACGAACAAACCGTATATTCAAACAAGATATTTATTTACAGGAACTAACAGTGAAACCAAACAGTTTTGTTGGACATATTTTAACCAAATTATTTTGTTGTTACAACAAGATTTTGGTTCACGCAACAATACATTTTCCCTAGTGTAGTATAAAACGCCTAGACTGCTTTTAAAACTCACTGTAAAACCTATCCTATTGTCTCGCTGCATCGATATTCTGATTGGTCAAGAAGACTAGGCCTCCCTCCGTCGAATCAGTAGAGGCCTGGTCTCACGCGATCAGTTTGCCACTCTCTTCCTATGAGGCTCTCTACTCTGTATGATACATGTCGCGCGCCGCAATGTGTCATGGCAAGAGCAAGCGCGGCGCGCGGTGTCGAGAGGAATGGTGTTTGTTTCACGTTCGTACGTCGATTTTTCGCCGAGTTATGCCCGCGCAAAGTTCGCCGAGAGACGGCACGCGCGCGCGCGCGACACATTGTAGCGACTCACGCCGCGCACTCGACACTTCGCCCCCCCCCCCACTCTCCTTCGGCTCGGCGGCTCACGGCTTCATGGGAACGCGGCGCAACATTGTCGGCGGGCCTCGGTCCCCGTCAAAGCGCTCGCCGCTCGTCGATATCTCCGAGCAGAGAAGCCGTAGCGACGTGCGGTAAACTGCACTCGAAAGCTCGGACTGTCGCGCTTTCGATGACGGCTCGATCGTTTCTCCGTATTACCGATCGATTTTGCGCTCTGTCCGAGAAGTCGAGCGAGCTCCTCGCGCGAATTGAAAACAAGCGGACTCCTGCGATTCGCGCGTCGCCTTCATATCTACTTTTGAGCGAACGATGACTTTGGATCTTTTATCGGTGACTACATGTGTGAAATTATTTTATCGTATCATCTAGTTACAATCAACACTTGTACAAAGTGTATCTAAATTCCACTGGTAATTCGCAGAATTAAGTTTTTACATGAAAAAATAATTAGAAATAATTAAAACATTTCAAAAAAGAGTCTCTTTCGTTTACATCCTCAAACGTTTTGTTTCTGCGATATGGTTAATATATTCGGTTAATATTCATAAATGATCAATATCAATCGACAGAAATCTCACGAGAAACAGGTAAAAACGTGTTACATCGGCATTCTTAACCCGCTTATCGCACACTTTTCATCTCCTCGGAGGTTGTATCTCAAAAAGCAAACTCTTGCGGACATACACGTCTGGTAAGATCCTTCTGCCTACTTTTCCACGTAGAATCTACCCCGAGAAGTTGTCGTGGTAGAATCCAGAGATGCGCCCTGCATATCCTACATACGACACAACCTCCCGATATACAAAGTCTCGCAACATCCTCGATCCTTTCTCCCAAAGTCGCCGTCGCTTGGCGAGGATTAAGAGAAGCGGGAGCTCGACATGTCCGAGGAATCTTGCGAAGGAGATTTACGCGAGTCTCGTCCTTTTTCGTCGCCGATGCGCCGCGATACGCTCGACCCCGGAGCGGAACAGCCTGTATACTCTCTCATGTGGCGCCGAAGAGACCGCCGTTCGAGGTGACGCACGGAAAGGATTTCCTGCCAATAAAACGGAGGAGCCCCGACAGGATAAAGATTTGTCGGCGCCGGACCTAAACGGATCGCCCCGCTCGAGGGCCCTTCACGAGAGAGAGAGAGAGAAGACCTCGCGCAAATGAGCGTCCCGGCAGCCTCTCTTCGCTGTTGCAGATTGAAGTCTCGCGAAACGGATGTCCGTAATATCGCGCCAAGGACACACCCTCGGCAAACCTCCCGTGTCTCAAAGTTATTAATCCCGAGGGAGCAAGGCGAGAGGGGGCGGAATGGAGGGGAGAGAGAGGGAAGGAGGGAGGGAGGGAGGGAGAGACGCTTGAAAAATTCAATACCGCGGGACGCGCGCTGTCTAAACACGCCGCTGTTATTGTAACAAACAGCGCGAAAAGGCCGGGAGGGGGGGGGGGGGAGAAGCGATCTTCGCAGGGATCGCCGAGCTTGTCGAGTAATTCGCGCGGCAAACGGCGCAGACAGCGTTTTGGCTTTATTTTCGTGTCTCCGCGCGACGGAATGCGCGACGGAATGCGCGACTATTCGGCGCGGCGGCGGCGGCGGGGAGGAAGGAGGTGTGCGGCTTTACGCTTTGGGCGAAATCGCGACGATTTAATTGCGCGTCCGTCGCTCGCGTCTGCCGCGCTCGCGGACAAACGGTCGTTTTTGGCGGTGAAGTCCATTTCGAAACGACCACCGCAATCTTGGCCGGCGACCAAGCGCTGGCGTGCCGGCTCTCTCTTCTTGCTCGCGAAGCTCGCCGCGAGAGAGCGAGCGGTGAGATCGCCCGGAATAATGCGTACCTCGAGCTCCCGATCCGGCTCGATCGTTAGTCTCCAGAGTTGCGCGCGCGAGACGCGCTGCCAAGAGTAATGCGCGCCGGGACAATCGCGGGACGCGCTCCAGGGGGGGGGGAAAGCGAAGAAACGCGAGTCGCGAGACCGGAATTCGGGAGATTAACATGCGCGCGCGTTCGTCTTGGCACGGAATTTTATTGGCTCTCTCTCTCTCTCTCTCTCGCTCGCTCCGCGAAAGAAGGCGGATGAAAAGAGAAGAAAATCACCGAGAGTCCTCTCTCCTCTCCCGGCGCGCGCGCACGCGCGTCGCTCGCCTACCTGTGCGAGCGTGCTATCGCGACTCCGCGATCGCGAGGAAAAGCTCGGGCCGCCGCGCCGCGCCGCGCCGCGGAGATAATCGCAATTTTCTCGATCGGCCGGCACGTGAATGCCGGCCGGCGTAATAGCGGCGGGCAAGTAGGCCACGTAAATCGGTGCTTGCGAGAAAGAGAGGAAAAAAAGAGGGTGAGAAAGATATATACCGCGAGGCGAGGGCGACCGACCGAACGAACGAACGAACGAACGACCCCGCCGCCGTAGCCGAACGCCCGCGTTAAAATGATGATTAAAGCCGGGGCCGGGGTGCGGCCGCGTGAGCGCACGCTGGGATTTTCGCGGTTATTGCGCGGTTATTAAGCCGCGTGTGGAATCGGGGTCGCAATAATGCGTGCGCGAACGGCCGAGTGACTTTTCTCCGGCTACTTCCGGCCGCGTTTCGCGCGCGAATATCGCAAGCGGAAATGGCATTAGCCTCGGTGCCGGGGATGTAAGAGGAAATTAAAACTGTTCTCCGAAACGAAAGCGCGCGGACGAATTTGCTTCTCTCTCTCTCTCTCTCTCTCTCTCTCTCTCTCTCTCTCTCTCTCTCTCTCTCTCTGTCTCTCCCTTCGCCGCGTATCGCGTAAAAACGCGACGCAGTGATGGTCGTCGAGGACGCGCTGGCCGATCGTGGGCGACGTTTGCTTTTAATAACGGGGTTATAAACGTCGGAGATATAGAGCGCTTATAACCCCACGGAGTGATACGGCTCGAATGAAACGCAACGACGGGACAACGTGGGAGCGCGCTTAATAACGCATAAAGCGTGTCTTCGGCGTGAACGCTGAACGACGAGCGCGGAACGAGATTACCGCGAGGTTATCGTCAGCGCGCGGGATTACAGCTGCCTACGCGATCACAATCGCGCGGACAATGCGCGCGCATGCCAAAATGCGAAATGCCGCCCGCCGAAATGCACGCGAGCGCGGGAAGACGGCGCGGCGGTCTCTTCGACGAGCAACGCCGAATTAAACGGAGGGGAGCAAGAGAGCGCGCGAGGGAGAGGAGGGAGGGAGGGAGGGGAAGAGAGAGAGAGAGAGAGAGAGAGAGAGCTCGGCGCAGCAGAAGCTGGCGCGGCGTCTCTCGCGGAAAAGTGTATCGATCGCGGAAAATTGTCCGATACTAGGTCAGCCTGCGAGTATTTGCGAGCCCCCTTCCTCCACCCCCCCGTACCCTGCCGCTCCCACCCTCGCGGTGCGGCGCGGCGTCGTTATAACGTTTACGATGCAGCCGGCGGACGGCGGCGTGATGACTGGTGATCGAGGATCGCGAAAGAGCGTGATGCACGACACCGTTCGCCGCGCACGCGGCGACGACGACGCCGCGCGAGATTGGACGTCGCCACGAGGAGGACTTTAAAGTCCTCGGAGGAAATAAAGCCGCGGACGCGTAGTCGCACGCACAAATGCGTCTCGCTCGTGTTACGTGGACGTAAAATGAACGCGGGACGCGGCTCCGATCTGGAGGGAATGAATCACGGGGGAGAACTCTCTATACGGGCGTATCCGATATTAAATCGCACCCTGGATCCCCCCGGGTGTGTGTCTCCGCGTCCACGAGAATAAATGGCGTGTCGCGTTGTGTCAACGTGATCCGTCGACGGAGAGCGTAACGCAGGTAACGACTTACGCGAGCCCGGCGAACATGGCGAACGGCCGCCGAATGTTTCCGGCGCTCTCGCGAACATAACGCGCGACACGGCCTGCGTGCGTGCGTGCGTGCGTGCGTGCGTGCGTGTGTATATGTGTGTGCGCGTCGTTTTACGACCTCGTATAACTTAGCGGGTTACACGCGCTTCCGGGGAGTCGATTCGCAAGGTCGATATTACGTCTCGCGTTATCGCCACCCGGATCGCCAGCCGATCGGCCGAATCTCGTCGTCGGCGCGCGGCTTCTCCCGCGACGTTACGACCGTTGCGAAGCGTAGGCGTGGTACTTTGCAGGATATCTCCGCGTCCAGGATCCTCGCGTCGCTCCGCATCAGCTGCGCGAATCGAAGCGGTTCGCGAGGCGGCGCGGCAGCTTCTCTCGCAATTTTCTTGCCGGTTGTGCAAGAACAGTGAAGCATTTCTCTCTCTTTCTCTCTCTCTCTGTCTCTCTCTCTCTTTCTCTCTCTCTCTCTCTCTCTCTCTCTCTCTCTCTCAATGTGCGTCGCACGCAGAGGCCGCAATTCTGAGTTATCTTTGCTCTGCAAGCGTGTGGGCAAGCGCAGTTTCTCAAACATGCCGCTCCGAAGTATCGCAGAGCTTGTTTGCAGCTCTTTATGAGTTATGCTATGATTTAAAACGCGGCACTCGCGTTGTCCTCCTCTGCTTGCATTTCTCATGTTTACGTGGGCTAGTCTGCGCGAAGGTACTCGCCGCTCGAGTCTGTCGTCTTGCTAAATTGATGAGAAGTTGCGCGCTAAAATGACAAATCCCAAACAGACCAGAGGAGATTTGGCGTTTAGTAGCGAAAATTTCGAGAAAGAAGTGCCTCAGCGACCGGTCGCTGAAGTTTGAGGCTCCGCTGATCTTCCCAGAATCTGTTATACACGACTCTCATGGGTTTACAGCAAGGCGAAAAAAAGGACAATCGGATACTCGCGACAGGCTGCTCTGAAATGTACCTCGGGCGTCTCGCGCAAATAAAAATGCAAACAACGGGGAGTAACGGTCGAAATGCACGGAGTGCCACCAAGCACTCGTTCCTCGTGTGACTCACAATGCGAAATCGCGAAACTTTCGAGCGATATCTCGCGGAAAGTTGCATGCGGGCCGTGCAAAGTTGCGGAGATTATCCCGGGAATTTCGTCCTTTATATGACGCGTGTATTAAAATCCAAGAAACCCCCGAGATGTGTTGACCTTCTCTATCCTCGTCTAGCCTCTCGTCCCTCGGTGACCTCGTAAAAATACGGCACGTGCGTGCGAGGGAGAAAAAGATGACGTTGCGGTTGAAACGCGCAAATCGCGAGTCGGGAACAACAGCGCCCGCGCGGCTCATGACTAACGAGGCGGCGAGCTTAATCCGAGCTGCGCGAATTATTAAACAGGAAATAATTTCTTATTACGGAGGGAAACACGGCCCCCTGCACCCGATTAAACGGCTGCCGGCTGGCGGCGAGCGCGCATGAAGAATTCAGCGTCGCGCGGGGTACGCGCGTTTACGACCTCGGCACCGAGGCCGGATGGTCTGTCTCTCTCTCTCTCTCTCTCTCTCTCTCAACCGCGCGTGCCAATTTTTCGGGGAGAAGTGAAAACGCTCGGCGCCCTCGCGCGAGGGATCGACGCGCCGATGAGAACAAAAGGGGCGGGACGACAGCGAGAGGATAAAAAAAGAAAGAAATAGAAACAAAAAAAAAAGATCAAAGGAAACGAGAGTTACTTACATTCCTGCTTAAATGTGAAGTATTCCGTGAGATGACGGCACTCGTGGTTACCTCTGAGGAGGAAGAGTGTGGTCGGATGGCACAGTTTCAGCGCCCACAGGTACAATACGCACTGCAACAGAAAGAAACACACGAGGGTGAGTGTCGATCAGGATCGCCCGCGCCAATATGGCGCTCTCGCGAGACCTCGCTCGCTCCTCTCAAGTTCGTTTCTCGAGACCGCGCGACACATATTCCGGCTCGCAGTCGGGGCCGCAGGGGCGAAATCTGCCAATAAATAGTTCAGCAGCGGGGCGAAATGTCAAAGTGTACGCTCTCCGCGCGGTGCAGCGGTCGATCTCGACGGGGGGCGCCTTTACCTGACGAGCTGATGACGAGGAATAAACGAGCGACGTCTCTCGGCGCGGCCGGGGAATGCGGCGGCGGGGTTGAAGGTGACTTGCCAAAGGCGAGATCGCGGACGGCGCGTAGCCGACGATTGCGCCGGGGCGCATATCGAGATTCTCCAATTAAGCCGGAGAGTCCGCCGAGAGGAGGAGGAGGCTCCGAGGACCCACAGCCGCGGCTTCGGCCGACATTCTGCCGCTTTAATTGCGGGACTTCTACCGACGCGCGCGGGAGGAGCGGCAGACTGCATCGCGCGAGGGATTCCCCTCCGCCGTGTAATTGTATCGGGGAGGAGGACATCTGGGGCGCGGACTCGCGACCTCCTCGACCTCGGCCGAACCTCGGCTCGTTGTCAGACTGGAAGCATCTTGGCAGCGGACGGCCTTCCGCCGCTCGCGGCGTCGCCCCGGCGAAGTATGAATCGGCTGGCGAAAACCGTCGCACGTTTGGCTTGTGTGTCGTACGCGGCGGACCATGAAAACGTATCGCGTAGCCGCGGGCGGGAGTATAAATAATGTATACACGCGCGCCCCCGAGAGCGCCCCGTGCGAAGAAATCCGGGAAACGCAGCGGGTTCGAGGATCGGTTCGGGAAAGCGCGCGGAATCGACAGGCGACGTGCCACGGACGAGGATGAATATATTTTTCTGCTTTGTCCTCTGGACCAAATGATTTTGTTCTCAGACTTCATACGTAAAAATTAAGCGTTTCAGTTATTTTATCCATGAAAATTACATAATAACGAAATATTATTTCACACAAACTAAGATAATGCCCAGTGGATACTATTTTGTCTTTCCGTGCACTGAAATTTAGATCTTGTGTATTAAGAAAAAAATTATAGTATCTTTAACAAAATTCATATCAAAAGTTCAAGCTTTTTGGTTGCTATGACAAAAGTATTACGTTATATACGAACAAACCGTAATCAAACAAGATATTTGTTTACAGGAACTAAACAAACTTTTGTTGGGCATATTTTAATCCAATTATTTTGTTGTTGCAGCAAAATTTTGGTTCACGCAACAATACATTTTTCCTAGCGTAGACGGACGGAATTTTCCGATTTATCTGATATATCGCGCGTGGTCATCCGTCGGCGTTAATGACTAAACGTTGGTTATTCGCGAACACGACTTTTTCGTTCGATCCGTTCACGGAATTTCCCAAGCGAGAGAAGGACGAGAGAGTCTCGTACCCGACAAACAGCCGGCCGACGGAAGTTCGAACTTGAAACGCTTTCTCCGGAGCCGCGGCCGGCGAGGATCGGGGCTGCCGTGTTGCTGGCGGACGTAAAGGCGCGTTACACGCGAATGCATCACTAATTAATATTATTCGTTGTATCGCACGGGTCAGTGACCCGCGTTAAATTGGCCGGGCGGCCGGTTGCTAACGAACGGCGGACGTAGGGGTTTCGCGCGAACTGTGTCCGCGCTAATTAGCTCGCTCGCGAACGCGGCCGTAATGACGACTCCATTAGCCGCACTCCTTTCGCGCGCGAAAGTAGAAGGGCGATTTTCATCGGCGCCCTTTTGCGCGCGTGGTCAACGTTTGTCGCACGCGCGTGCGCGTGCGCTCCCCCGTGCGCCGGCGGCTGTTTAATAATTACGGCTGGCGCAGCAGTTTTAAACGGGCTCAATTATGCACGGACAATGCGGATTAAAGCGTTTGCAAACGCGTGTCGCGTCTCATTAGTGTGTCGCGTCGCGGCGATTCTCGCTCTTCTCTCTTTGTCCGCCCGCGGAAAGAGATCGATCTCGAAGCCGATGGTTAATGCCATCTAAAGGATGCGAGTGTGTGTGTGTGTGTGTGTGAGAGAGAGAGAGAGAGAGAGAGAGAGAGAGAGGGGGGATCGATATCTGCTTTTTTGACTCCTATATTCGAGAATTTTTGTCGCTGGAAAAGCGACGGAACGAATATTGTCCTTTGTCGTCCTTCGAAGTGATAAGATGAGCGTCCCATTTTGTGACAATCGCGTTTCTCTCTTGATAAATCACAATCACGAGGCTGTATAGGTCGTCCCTAAACGCGTGCTCTCGTTTGGAGTTTTATATTATTGTCGGCCACATGTTTCGAATGAAATTGAGAGCCGTGGTAAATAATGGAACATTGTAACTACAAGTGTACCGCTGACGATGACAGTTCAAACGATTACAAGCCGACATCTTAGAAGATGACGGTTAAAACAGGGGACCTGTTTGTTCAGTCCGTGCGGTTTATCCTCCAACTTTTTGAAAACTAAACCGTCAATAAAAGACACCTAAATGTTTACCTCAGTTACTTTTAAGAAACATAATAAATAAATAAAAATCTTGCCACAGATTAGAAAAGTATAGCACAATTAAAACTTCGGAAGCCTCAGAGCTCAGTAAAATCACCTTTGTATAACTAAGCTTAACACGTATATTACTAATTTATCGATTTTCTCACGATGAGGTTACTCGGTCGCCAATTGGCACTTTTACCGGCCGCGAAACGTTATTCTGTTTTTACATGCAATCGCGATTTCTTTTTCCACAATTTTTCCTTTCGATTGTCTCTCCCTCTCTCTCTCTCTCTCTCTCTCTCTCTCTCTCTCTCTCTCTAGCTCTCTTTCTCGTTAGCTATTTTAACTTTTTATCGGAAAACTTTGAAAATATCTTAAGGTTAGATATTTTAATTTTCTATCAAAGAAATATATTTCTATCAAAGAATTTAACAGTTCTATTTCTTCTTCTTTTCTGCGTAACTAATAACTTGTATTAATTTTTACCCGTCAAAAAGAAAAATGCAAATTTAATCACTTATCACAAATCACTTATCGTTTAGCGTTTAAGCTAAACGCGTTGCTACTTTTCCTCCCTCTCTCTCCTTCTAGCTCGTCGAGAAATAGAAAGCTCCTTCCGTTCTGCCGCGATTGCACGCCTTGCAGAGATCTAATCTGCGAGAAAAAGCTGGGGAAGTATTTCAAGACTGCCGCGGGGATTCGCGCAAGGTGAGACAGATATGAGATCAGGGTAGGAGCCGCTGCGACGGAACGTTTAACCTTTGCGCATCGACGTGGCGGGCTGGACGTCGCCGATATCGCGGCTGGCAGCCAGGGAACGGAACGGAAATCGTCTCGCGAGTTCGAATATAGGATTTTTATCTCGCGCTCCGCTCTCGGAGGATCAGTCGACTCGCGCGACGTAAAGCTCGCGTTCCGCAGCGTCGACACACGTTTTTTCGATTTTGCACGCTGATCCCGCTCTGCGGGGGGTGAACCTTCTCCCTCCCCCTCCCTCCCTCTCTCTCTCTCTCTCTCCTCTCTTTCTCCTTGTTCACCCGCTTGCCTGCCTATCCGGCCATAAAAGCACCGCGGCATTTTTTTTCTTAGACTTCGAGGTCAATTATTTTCTCCCCGCTGATCCGATCGACTGTCTACCGTCCCCCTCTCGCGCCCCGCGACCCTTCCTCCAGCGTCCCTTTGCGAAGCCATCGGAGCGGTTGCGCTCGCTCTCTCGCTCTCTCGCTCGCCTTGCCGCCGCTATAATTACACGCGAGGGCCCTCATTGGCATTGTAACGAAACAACGCACTCGGCCGTCGCGTATCGGCCTTCAGATTGCGGTTCACTCCCGTGAACGTCGGTCCCCCTCGTCGTCGTCGTCGTCGTCGTCGTCGTCTTCTCTGCCGAAGATCGCGAGAACGGGTCGCCGGCGCGGCCAATCTGTCGAGCGGAAGCCGCGAAGGGCGCGGACGAGATTTCCGACGGGACCGGGGAGAAATAAGATTCTCAAACCAGCGATCAACGGGTACACGTCGTGCCCCATAAAGTGCTCCCCCTCTCTCTTCTCGGATTTATCCTCTATATCCTTCGGCGACAGGCGCCTTGGATGATTAGGAACGAGGTTCCCGATGAGCGCGTCGTCAGAGCAAACGCTTTGGGCCTGCGAAGGAGCCACCGGAGCATATTGCAGGGAGGACAGGAGGGAGGAAGGGAGGAGAGAAAGAAAGAGAGGAAGAGTAACGATCTCTCGCGGAGATTCGATGTGTCGCCATTGACCGTCACACGTCGCACGCACTGACACGCACACACACATGTAACACACGTGCCACCCTTATACCTCCGGCTGTTTGCACCGCGTGGGAGACCCTCGTCCGGGATATATCCTCTTAAAACGCGGAGCGATCGACCTGCCCCCCCCGTCGCGCGCGAGTCGTCAAACGGAGTATCATCGAAGGATCGAGAGCGCGTTTCTCGCGAGGGAACAGCCGTGCGATGGAAACTCTTTTCATACGACGGGGCGAGCGCGGGGCCGACCGATTTATAATGCCATTTACGCCAACGGGCCTCGGCAGAAGGGGGGGCTGGAGGGAAGAGCTGGCGGTCCATTTTCTCCACGAGAGGGATCCGCTCTCGAGCATTGTGCCGTAAAATAAGAAGAGCGCGCGCTCCGTTGACGTCGATGTCGTCTCTCGTGGATAGATCGGCCGCTCCCTCCCCCTCCCCCCTCCCCATGCGCCATCGCCAGGTCGCAGCGTAGCGAGAATCGTAAATACAATCGAACCCGTATCTGCTCGCGCTCCTCCGGCGAAATTATCTCCAGGGAGGGGGGCGGGACGACCAGCCGTTCCCGCGAGCCACCGGGAGAAATTCCGTGTTATTTCCTCTCCGCCCGGGGAAAATGGAAACTGCGCGCGCGCTCGGTCCGACGGGGAGTCGGACAATTTTGCTTTCCCTTTGTCTCCGCTCTCTTCTTCTCTTTCTTTATCTTTGTCAAACGAGTCGACTTGGAGCCGCGCGACGTCGAAGTTAATGAGAGGACGGGAAACGCGACAGACGCGGTATTAATAATCGACGTCGTCGTCGTACTGTTGTCGTCGTAATACGGAGAAATTACGCTACAAGCGAGATATTGCTTTACGCCTGTTCGTCGTGCAAGTCTTCCAGCCCCTTTACCCCCTCCCCCCCACTATCGATCCCGACGCTAAAGGATCCCCGCGGACTCGGGCCATCAGTTTGATTGGAAACAGCGATTCGCATACGGCTGCGGAGCTCCGACATTGGCGAGCGCGCGTGATAAATCCGACGGCATCCATGCGCTACTCGCAGCGGGACGAGACGCCGGCGGCCTGCATTATTCAGAATTCACCGAGACGCATCACGATCTGAATAATGGTAACCGCGGAATATATCAGGAGATTTTCTTAAAAGGAGCCATCTTACCGCGCGCTGTTTCGCGAGACGTACTTTGCGGCGAATACATTTAAATCTTGAAAGAGAAGAGAGGGGGGAGAGAGAACAAGGGGGAATATGGTTTATTAGACGCTTCTCGAAGAAAGAAGACAGCATCTCCTCAGATGCCCAAAAGGAAAAGAAAAAAAAAAGAAAGCACGAGATCGATTAATAGACAACTGCACGTGTGAAATAGCGGAAAATTTTTACAGACACCTGCGCTAGGAAAAAAATTAGTATCTCTAACAAAACTTTGTTTAGTTGAGGCATTTTTTAATAGCAACCAAATATCTTGTTTTGTATAACAAAATATTTAGCTGTCTCAACTAAATATATTTTTCTGCTTTGTTCTCTGGACCAAATGATTTCGTTCTCAGACTTCATAATTAAGCATTTTAAAAATTAAGCATTTTAGTTATTTTATCCATGAAAATTACATAATAACGAAATATTATTTTATATAAACTAAAATAATGCCCAACGGATACTATTTTGTCTTTCTGTGCACTGAAATTAAGATTTTATGTATTAAGAAAAAATTATAATATTTTTAACAAAATTCGTATAGTTCAAGCTTTTTGATTGCTATAACAAAAGTATTACGTTATACGAACAAACCGTAATCAAACAAGATATTTGTTTACAGGCACTAAGCAAACTTTTGTTGGGCATATTTTAACCAAATTATTTTGTTGTTACAACAAAATTTTGGTTCACGCAACAATACATTTTTCCTAGTGTAGATAGGACTCAGTTCAGTTCGCGAAACTCCGCGTGAGGCGAATAAAAACTAAAGTCGACTTTCAAATTAAAAATTAAACGCCAGGGAGAAGGAGAGAAAGAGAGCTACGTGTAATATCCACGTACGATATTGGATCGCACTATATACTCCTTCCGCAATTTGTTGCACTCGACGGAGACGCGCGACTTCGTCCTTCGCCGCAAGCCCCGAGGATCGCGCGCAGCACGTCTCAACGGCGGCTGGTCGGGAGGATAAATCGCGCGCGCGAGAGAAACGCCGCAGTGATTAAAAATTACCCCCGTGGATTCTTATATTCTCCGGACAGAATTATGACCGACGCGAGTAACATCCTCGGAAGGGGGCCGAGCGACCGACGAATTCTACGACGGATTTAAGGAACCCCCGAGGCACTCGGCGCACTTTATAGCGCTCTCGTCGAGTCCGCGATGCGACTCTCCCCTCCCCTCGCTCTTTTTATCTCTAAAAAATAAATTGCACAGTCGTATTCTTGGGAATATTTGATATGCGAGGTCGCTGCGAAATTTCATTTCGCGCGGCGTGCCGTTTAGAGGACGGGAGGACTGCTCCTCCGTAGCAGCTCTCTCTCTCTCTCTCTCTCTCTTTCTCTCCTTTCGCTCTCCGCCGCTCCGTAGCTTCCGGTTACGAAATTTGCAAGGAGAAATTGTTCGTTACTTTACGGCGCAAAAATTCCTCGGGACGAGCGGCCCGCGCGATAAAGACACCCCTTGAGATGCCGCTCGCGCGTCACTCGGTGACTCCGCGCGTTTCCTCCCTCGGATTTCTTCCCGGCGGATCGTATCGCATTATACCAGCGAGCAGCAGGACGAAATTTTCGAAACAGACCACGCCGGCGATCGAAGCTGATATTATTCGCGCGCAGCTCGAAATTGACTCGCGAACAAGCAATCCACGCCGCCTTCTACTCCCTCGTGTCTCGAGACGGAGACTCTCTGGCCGCAGGAAAGCCGAAGGCGCCGCGATCGCGACGCTGAAAAAACCCGTCCTTTGGCCCGACGAGTCGAGCGGTCGTCTCGCGAATTTTCGCGCGGCGAAAATCGCCAGTTTTCCGATTACTTCCCTCCGCTGGATACGCAGCCGAGCTAAGCCGTGTTGGCCGCGCTGAGAGTAAGTGTTACGATCAATAGCAGCGCATTTGCAATCGAGCGCTCGCTGCTGAAAGTCAGAGATTTTCCGTGAGGAGCGGGGGAGGGGGAGAAGGAGGGAGAGCTCGCGAAGCGTGAAAATGTAATTTTAATCAGTCGTCCGCGCGAGCGTGTCGCGATTCTCGCGGGGCGCAATATCAAAGCGAGCCTGCTGCCGCAGGATTAACGCTTTCGCACCTTGCCGCGCGCACTCGGCAGTCGGCTGAACGGGTCTCGCGCGGCTGACGATTTAATTACTAGTTAATCGGGTCGTGGCGCTAATTGCAGCGGCTCGATAATCGAGCACTGCCGCATAATACCCCGAAGTCGGCCGGCACTTTCTTCGCACGGCACCCTCCTCTTGTCGCTGCTGGCGAGTGGTGAGTACACACAACCGATCTTCACCGGCGTGTGTTATTACACCCCCCCCCTCGACCCGCCCCGCCGATTAAATCGCGACCTCGCGCGGTCGCAAACCTCGTGGAGCTTCGTTGTCGCGCAAATATCGGCTCGTCGCGGCCGCCGCCTCCTCCTCCTCCTTCTCCTTTTTCTCCTCTTCAGGTACTCACCTCGATACTGAAATAACCTCTGTCAACGTAATCGCCGAGGAAAAGATACTTGGTCGAGGAGGGTGGCCCGCCCACCTCGAATAATTTCATCAGGTCGTAGAACTGCCCGTGAATGTCGCCGCACACTGAAAGCAAAAGCAGATTCGACGATTTAGTGTGAGCATGTTCGACCTCTCGCTCTCGCATGGGCTCGGCAGCGGGGATCGCGGAGGGGGGACGGGCGCGAAATTACAAGCGTGGCAATTAGCGCGGCGAGCTTTTCGCATCGTGAATTGCGTAACATTGTTGCGATATTTTCTACGGGTCGAATTTTAAGGGCGCAAAGCAAAAGAGAGAGAGAGAGAGAGAGAGAGAGAGGAGTGGGACGAGGGAAGGAGACGAGAAATTAGCTCGATTAAAGCGTACCTTGCACACGAATATGTAGACATTAGCAGCCCTTGAGAGCGCCGGTAAACTTGTTTGCGAATGTTTCAAAGTGAAATTACGCTCCCGTGTCGCGGCGGATAAGGGACCGTGCGGGAAATCGTTCGGAAACTTGGAGTTCTCGAAACCGGCAACTATTAGCGGCCGAAGAGTGACGTCGGGCTTTACTTTGCCGCGGTTGTCGTCCGTCGCTATTTGTTGTCGCCGATGCAGCCCGTCTCCGGACAAAAGCGGAAAGGGAACGGACGGACAATTTCACAGTCACGCGCGGTGCGCAAAATTGCCGATCCATCGCCGAGTCCGGCGAATTTCGCGTGTAAATTTCAGAGAGGGCAACTGCGGCAGCTTCGACGCTGATGCGCCTCGTCTTTCGCTCGGGGGCAACGAGGTCGACGAATAAATAAATAAATAAAGACGATCAGCAAAAATTCCGCGAAATTCGGACATCGGCGGCGCTCGGCAGACTCGACGTGGCTCGATAAATAATGCGCGATACGTAGAGTCTCGCTGGCAAGAGAGGGAGGGAGAGAGAGGGAGAAAGGGAGAGAGAGAGAGAGAGAGAGAGAGGAGGGAGAGACCGAAGAGATTCAAAGCACGTAAAGAGTGGATCACGGTGTACAAACTGTTGAAAACAATCCGCTACGAGTCAATTCGCTAAACGCACGAAGAAAACTCTCTCTCTCTCTCTCTCTCTCTCTCTGTTCTGGGAAATATTGACTCTCGTACACCGAGAAAGTGCTATATACCAGCTAGATTACACATCTATTATTGAAAACATTTGCCGGGGGAATGAGAAATTATTTTTGCGCACGGTGCAAACTGTCATATTGCAAAATATTGAAAAGACAACTGTTAATTGACCATCCGAGGGTGTAAATTTGGACATTGGTGTGAATACCCTCCACGCGACACAGTTTATCGTTGAAAAAGAAATTTGTCATTATTTATTAAAAATCTCTCTCCACGTACAACCGCTTAAATCTCAAAGCAATCGGCGCATAATCTCGAAGCATCGCTCCAACGTCGCCTTTTGCTTGCGCAATAAGGTCGATAGGTAGACAAATAAATAAATAAATAAATAAATAAATAAATAAATAAGCGTATATGATCCATTAAAATCCCGTGAAATTCGAACACCTCGATGCTCGACGGGGCGATAAATAATAATGCGCGATACATAGAGCCACGTTGACCGGGGGATTGGAGAGAGAGAGAGAGAGAGAGAGAGAGAAAGAGAGAGAGAGAGAGAGAGAGAGAGAGAGAGAAAGAGGGAACGGAGGAGGAGGAGGAGGAGGAGAGAAACCGAAGGAACTCAAAGACGCGTAAAAAGTGGATCATGGAAAAGAATGTAAGGGAAAGGAGACACGGCGCTTTGTGAGAGCGAGTAAACTGTTACATACGCGCGACGATAAATGAAGGTCCATAAACACGTTGCTACTCGGCGGAGGGGGGAGGGAGAACTTAGTTTCCCGCCGTGCGTCCGGCGGAAACTATCGCGCTCGCGCGCGCGCCGGCATAAAATCATAGCTTACGACTATCAACTATTTTTATTATTCATCGCTTGCATGCAGCACACCGCTCGCTCGCAACATTTTCCGATATACCGTGCGCAGGAATGCAGAGGAATAAACTTGTTCTCGAGCCGCGCGCGTCGTTCGTTGTGCGGTGATCAAATGAAAAAAATGGAGCTCCGTGTGTAGCCCGCTTTTTTTGCCGCTCGTCCATTCGCGCTCGAAAGTCGCAGGATATTCGGGCGACAAACATGGAAGGAGAAGGAGGAGGAGGAGGAGGAGGAGGAGGAGAGCCGCAGGACATCTCGTATACGGGGTGCTTAAAGAGAAAAGAGTTGCAGCCTTGAGGCCGCGATTGTTGACGTTGTAGGCTGCGCCTGCGTCTGTTGAATATTGCGAGCGACGCGAGGGATTTTTGAATACAAAAATTCTCACGCGGCTCCTCTCGCTCGGCGGCGCTCGGTAGCTTCGTTTTCGTTTTCTTGCGATTTTAGCGAATTTTCCGCGCGACGGAGCAACGAAAATACGTGCAATATCAAAAGGAGACACGGGAGACGAGAAAACGAGAGAGAAAGAGAAAGAGAGAGAGAGAGAAAGAGAGGGGGGAGAAAGAGCGCTTTAATGTTTACATAAAACATCATCGCGGTACAAAGGCAAATGGCGACCAATAACATCGGCCGCGCGCTTTTTGCGCGATATACACGTGGCGATATATGACGCGCATGTTAATACCGGGTCTCTCGGGCCGGAAACTGGGACGTCATCCGTGTAAAGCGGCGAAATACGAGCGGGTAAATATGACGGGAAAAGCGGCTGGATATCTGCGCGGAGATAATGAAATTGAGATCGCGCGCGTTAACGTGCGCGTGTAGGCGCGCGCGACGGCGGGGGTTGAAATAATCAGTCGTAAAAGGCGAATTAAGGAGATGAAGTCGACGAATGAGCCCGCCCGCGCTGACTGCTGCGAAGGTGTATCGTGTATCGCCCCGGTTGTGTTCCGTTAGTTGCAAGACCATAATAACGTTTCAGCTGTCGATGCTGGGCTGCGCGCGTTGAAGCGCGGCAGTCTTGGGAACGTTTTTTCACGGCCGTCGCAGAAGAGGCCCGAAAGAGCCCAGAAGTGGTCACTTTGGACACTTCAGACATAGGAAGTGCATTAATTTCATAAATTGCGAAAAAATGTGCGACGCCGTAATAACGTCCCATCAGCCAGCAACGAGATATTTGGGCGAATTTCGCGAACACAAGAATAATCTGGCCAGAGTTCAGAGGTGGTAATCGAAGGAAGATGGCGTTATCGACTACTCACAGTTAACCGGTAGAAACATTTGGGTGCTTCAGACATATAACAAGTAAATTAATGTCATCATGTACGACCGTCGCCTCGGTGGTGTGTGTTTTACCGATCCGCGGTGCGACCGAATTTTCCATTGCTCGGGGACGGGAAGGAAGAGAGCTCGGGGCTGCAGGAACAGAAAAATGGCTGCGGAAAGTCGGCTGCGCTCGGTTGCAATCGCTTGCCGATTATCGCTCAAGCGAGTTTCAATGCAACTCTCGATGCTTTCGGTCGCGATAATAACATTTGCAGCTGTCATTTCTCGTCAGCGAGTTTTCGTTCGTCCTTCAGCCCATTCAGCTCGCGGCGAATAACGGCTCCTTTTTCCCCGCCAATGCGAATCTACGGTAAACTATACGGGGGTGGTAGTTTGCAGTTTCGCGAAACTGCGTCTTCGCGGTTGCCAACTCGCGATTACCTCCCTCCGTGTTTCAGCGCGCGAGAGAAGCAAATCCGAGAAGCGCGACCGGGAATTTTCCATCGCCTGGCGAGCGGAAGAAAAGTCGGCTGCGGGGACGGGAGGGTCGCCGCGGGCGGTTTCTACTCGGTCAATCGCCCGCCGGTTATCTCCAGCGTGTTTCAATGCAGCTCTGGATGTTCGGACGAATGTTCCCGGCCGCGATAATACAGACGTCATTTCTCGTCAGCGAGTTCTCGCCGGCGAGTCCCGGTCGGTTGCAACAGCAACAGCGACTCCTTCTTCCGCACGAACCCGCGACGAAGACATATTAGACGCCCTCGCGAAGCTGCATTCTTGCGGTTATCAAGATGCGCTGATCTTCGCGCCGCGCGAATTAGACCGATTCTTGCGGAAAAGCAAGATCGGCCGAGGCGGCGAAGAAAGAGCGCGTGGGAGGAAAGCTCCACTCTCGAGACTCACGAGGGAGAAACGGGAAGAAACTAAACTTTATCCTGCACTTTGCAGCTCTCTCTCTCCCCCGCTCTCTCGCCCGCCATCGCCACGTCCCCCCGCCGCCTCGTCCCGCGACGCTTACAGCTCGCGTTCTTTGTTCACCGCTCGTTTTTCTCTTCCTAATGTTTCCCACGAAGGGCAAACAGAACGCGCGCTACTGCCGAGAGCGAGCGAGCGAGCGAGCGAGTGAGAGCTAAAGAAGAAGCCTAAGAAGAAGAAGGGAAAAATATTTCTCATCCGTCTCCTTTTCGTTAAATAAACGCGGAACGCTCCTCGGGCGCTTCTCGGCGCCGCGACAGCCGGGAATTGTTCGAACGCCCGAGAGTTTCGGCGCAGGTTCGGGGGGCTTCGGGCTCGCCGATCGAGATCGCCTAAGCGCTCACGAGCGACTCTGCAAAATTCACATTCCCCATTCTCAACCCACTGGCCTATTTTTCGTCGCGAGTGCAGCGCGTCTTGGGATCCCGCCCGGGTAGTAACTTCAGCACCGCTGATGGTATCGGCGCACTCTCTCTCTCTCTCTCTCTCTCTCTCTCTCTGCAAGCCGTGTCTGAATATTTCAAACATCCCTGCATGTATCGGCTCGGCCCTCATCCCCTCTTCCTCTCTCTCTCTCGTCCTCTCTCTCGCTCCAGCTGTGGCCCTCTCGCTCTTGAGCGAGTTAATTATTCCCCGTGTGGGGCGCAGCGCGCAAGCGAAGCAAGCGCGTAATTTCAGCCTCGGCGGCAACGCGAGCGGATGATGTTACATCGTGCTCCACTCCATTGGCTCGGCGGCTTTTGTCGGCTTGTGTGTGTGGTATCGCACGCGCGCGCCACGTGTGCCGACTGCATTTTCACGGAAGCCACACCGCGGAAGCCTCGCAGGGCGTAGCCCGGCGGGGGCGCGGTAAACCGTGCGCTCGCGATCGCGATCTAATTATTTAAATCACGTGTGCGTCAT